GTGTGTGTGAGTGTGTGTGTGTGTGTGTGAGCGTGTGTGAGTGTGAGCGTGTGTGTGAACGTGTGTGTGTGAGTGTGTGTGTGTGTGTGTGTGAGTGTGCACACACAGATCTCTTTCCACGGCACTTTTTAAGCAGAAGCAAAAATGACTGGAGAGCTTTAGGGATGTTTAGCATTCTCTAAGTGGGTGACAAGTGAGAGGTCAACGACTCGATGGAGGGAAGTTGGGGTTCAAGCCCCACAGCTTCACAAGCCAGAGCCCACGTGGAGGGTAGAGAAGGGGACATGGAGGCAGGGAGAGCAGAGAACCTGGACCCTGACAGTGACTCGCTTCCCCTCCCGGCAAACAGCTGGCCCCGCCCACCGCACAGGAACAAGAATGCGGCACAAGGCCTTTACAGAGTGCAGGGGGTCCTCCACACCGGCCCCAGGTCTGGCAGGAGCGAGGCACAGGGCTGGGGGGCACAGGGCTGGGGGCACCTGCTGGGCCAGGCCACAGCGGCAGGCACCACGTGCGAGTCAGGGCTCTCTGGGTGCACTTTCTGCTGACGCCCCTCCCCTGCACACAACAGCCCCGCTTCTTTCTCTCCGCCCGGGCAGGCTGCCCGCAGACTCTGTCCTCGCTGCCTCCGGATGCCAAAGCACCAGCTGCCGCCCCAGCGCCTGGCACCGCACCTCCTGCAGCTGGCGGGGCCCAGTTTCCTGAGGCCACAGGGCAGCGAGGCTGGTGAGGACACGGGCACATGGGGACAGTGGAAACCTGCTCTGCCTACCTGGGGGCTCCAGTGGGGAGGCTCAGAGAGAATAAAGGGGAGGAGTCAAGCGGAGACAGAAGGGGAAGGTGCGGAGGGAGGCCAGGAGGGGGGAGAAAGATGGACCATCGGGACAGAAAGGAAATGGTGGCAGCTCAGAGTGCTGAGGGAGCCGGAGGTGAGAGTGAAGTGTCTGAATAAAGACAAGGCGCACACTGGGAGGGGACGGGGACGGGGATGGGAAGGGGGCCAGCGAGCAAAGGGGGACAGCGACCTCCAGGGAATGGCAGCCAGGCTTTCTCTGGACTTGACTGCTTCCATGGCAACCAGGCCCGCTGCCTGAGCACCGGCGGGGTGGGCCTGGGGGGCTCAAGGACCAGAAAAGGGATGTGTTTGACCTTGGGTTTGCCACACAGACTAGTCCCTCCCCGGAGCCAGGCCTTCCCTCCCACTCCCTCACCTTCACTGCAGTCAAAGAGAATATCCATAAAGGGAGTGTCACGCAGAAAAAAAGGAAAGAATAAGGCAACCACATGCAAAAGTGATTGGACAGAACAAAAGAGGCCAGTGAAAAGGAGAGAGGCGGGCCTGGGCTGGACCACGCGGCCAGGCCAGGGCACAGCCGAGAAACAGGCCAGGCCTCGCCGCCTCCTCGGGTCTCCTAGGAGAGGAGGCATGATCTGCATTCCCAGTGCAGCCCCAGGCCCCCGAAGGCCCGGAGCAGCCAGAGGGCGCCTGAAAGGATTTGAGGAGAGGGGCGGAAAAGAGCCGAGCAAGTGTGAACAGGAAACCTCAGGACGGTGGGAAGGACAGAGAGAGACCCTGAGCGGGGAGGAGGGCAGCCGGACCTCAAAGGGTTTTGTGGGGGACTCTCAGGGTAAGGATGCGGAGGCTGCCAGGTCTGGGAGGAGCAAGACCTGAAGCACCAGGGGGCGCTCGCCCCCATCTCACAGCCCAGACCATCCCTAAACTACAACTCCCAGCAGCACCTGAACAACAAGCTGAGCTCCGAAACGCCCCTGGCACAGGAAGAGGGCAGCCACCCCTGGCACAGGAAAGGGGGCAGTCACCCCTGGCACAGGAGGGGGTAGTGGCTGATGCCTGATTATCTCCCAGGCCAGGGGTGTGGAGCCCACAAGTGTCCCAGGTCAAGCTGAATGTGCCAGAGACCAGCTGTGGTCCTGGATTTCTGAGCCACGAGAGGGACAGAGCGGCTGCCTCCTTTCCAGCCCAGCCCAGAGCCCTCCTCCGAGAAGGTCTCCGGCCCCCCCGGTCCCTCCCACTCGCCAGCACTACAGCTGTCGGTTCTGCTCATTTGGCACTTGCTGCCTGGTAACATCTTGTACTGCTCCCTGGAGAGGAAGTGCGAGGTGAGAAAGACCTGGGCACAAATGCTGGCTCGTCCAGGGGCGCTGTGACCTCGGCCAAGAGGCAGCATCTCTGAGCCCCAGCTTCCTCCCTGGACAGAGGAGCTCAGCACGGCCCACCTCGCAGGTTGCCGTGGGCACTCGGAAGAGGACAGATGGGCCGACTTCCTGAACTGTGAGCCGCTCCACAAATACACGCCTCCTGTGCTGGCATGTGCGGTTCAGTGTGCGCGTGCGCTCCCTCTCTCTCTCTGGATCAACGAATAATTAACTCCTCCGGACAAAGTCTGCACTTTGCATGTACTTTGCATGTCCCACGCTGTATTATACTTATTTGTTAGAATGTCAACGAGCCCCTGGAGGACGGAGACCATTCTCCCACTTAGAATCCAGGTGCTGAGCGCACGCCTGCTCCTGCGCCCGGCGGCGCGGGGGAAGGCTGGGGCACACAAATGAACCCCCCAAGCGCTGTCCTCGGGAGCTCCTTCTAGCGAGGGAGGCAAACAGGTCGAGTGACAGTTACGACACAGTGAGACAAGCGATATAACGGACGTGTAGGCCAGGGGAACACCAAGGTGTTTGGGTGCACACGTGGGGGGGAGTTCGGGGCGACTTCCGGGTGGACGGCCTGGCTGCTTTTCCCAGAGTCAGCTGAAAGAGACACCAGCTAGCTGGGGGAGAGGGCAGGGATGGCGGCCATCCAGGCCGACAGAACAGCGTGTATCAAAGAGCACGGGCAGGACTCGCTAGCCCAGTCCTTGGCACCCACTGGCGTTCCTGGAGGGGCTGCAAAAGTGCCCCGCAAACTTCTTAGGAAGGAGAATCTCTTAAGAGAGGCAGCCTCGGTGCTTAAAACCTGCAGCCCAAGACCGGCTCAGGGGCCCCGTCTAGGGGAGGGAGGGGAGGGGGAGGGGGGACACTTTGGCAAGTGACAGGTTCCTCCTCTGTAAACCCCAGGCAATGAGCTCTTCCTTTCCACAAAGGGTCGTGGAGACTCATTTAGGTGACACATGGGATACATACGTCCTATAAATACCACATCTGCAAACCACACTTAGATGATTAACTGCGGGGGGGGGGGGGGGGGCGGTACTCCACTGCCTGGTCCACCAGAGAAACATACTCCAGCAATGAGTCTGAACAACGGCCACAAAAAGACATCAGGGTGCTAGACAGAGGCCACCGGGACAGCTGAGCTTTGGGGAAGGAACGGAGGTTTGCGGCCCTTCACACCAGGGCAGGTCCTGGGGGCGTGGGCCCAGCCGTCCAGTGGGCCTCAGAGCGGGCACACCTTTGCCCACTAACCCCCCCCCCCCATGGGAAGTGCAGTTTGCCTGCAGGGGGCAAGGGCTGGGCTCTCTGGGGACCGTGGGGTCACTGACCTTTTGTCGGCTGGTGCACATCACCGGCTCCTCCTCTCCCGGCCCCCCCCTCGGAGAACAGTAAGGACCCTACTGGAGAAGCAGAATTGGGGAGTCAGGCACAGGGGGCTACTCAGCAGTCCCACCCCAGCCTCGGGTGGCAGAGGGCCCTCTCCAGGGCAGAGGTCCTCTCGCCTGGAGGGACAAGTTCAGGGCAAGGGGAGCTGCTCTGGGGACCCACTTGCTTTGGGGCCTCCAGGGAAAGAGCCTGTTGACAGACCGAGACCCCAGAAACGCCCTCAGACTCATGACCACCGGCTTCTGGGGCCTCGGGCTGGTTCAGGGGCCTGTGCCAACGCCATGCGCACAGGCCGGCCCTCAGCGCCCGGAGGCCCTGCGCTCCGCCGCCGCCGGCTCCTGGCTCACTCTCCTCCCCGCTCTGGATCTTCGCTCTCACCCTCGCTGCTGGGTCAGAGTTCACGTTCTTCAATGCGTTGGAAGGCCCCCTTCCTCCAAAACTCCCCAAGGCACACGCCATACCCCTCCTCTGACCCTCGCCCATCCTCCAGGCAACCCTGGCTCCCTGTCTACACCTGGTTCATGCCAGTTAGACTGTGGGCATCACGGGGGCAGGGCCATGGTTTCTGTTCGTACACTGTCCCTCCGTTGTGTCTTCAGAGGGCTGTGCACACCAAGGGAGGTCCTGACTAGCTGGGGCTCCTGCTTAGGGGAAGCCCTTTCCCAGGGGTCCTCCTTGCCCTGGGCCACCGGCTTGTGAGCCCTAGGCCCCCTCTCCACAGGCCCCACAGGCACGTGTTGCTATGCCTGGGTGCCAGGTCAGCTTAAGCTCTCCACCCACCCCTTCCGCCGACTTGTGTGCCTAGTGCCCGGCTCTCAGGCACCCACACCTTGCCAGGCCCCATGGGATGAGGGGAACTCAAGAATGAAGCTTAAAAGTCCCTTACTCCCACCCCAATCACAAAGCCCCAGAGCTAAAGCCAGACTAACACCTGAACCATGAACCTCCCAGGGAGGGGCGATCCTTTCGGCCTTCGTCTATGACCAAGGTGGGCCACAGCCAGCACCCCCAGAACCAGGCACTGACAGGCAAGAAGGATGTGAGTGAACCAACCAGGTCCTGACTCCCCACCTGGGACTTCCTCGGTCCTAACATTTCTTGCCATAATGTGGCATCCCTGCAAGAGTCACAGGCCCCTACCTCCCAGACCTAAATCCATCCCAAATTCCAGATCTGAGCCTCCGGCTTCGTCCATAGGCCTCTCCTGCCTCGTCCCTATGGGAGATGAGCCCAGCAGAGGACTGCCCTGGGCAGGGAGCGGTGCCCAGAAGGCCACGAGCTCGAGAGAGTCGTGACAGGAGGCCTGGGAGGTCCTGGCTGGCAGGGGCCACAGTCGGGACTCCTGGGCTCTGCCCCAGGTGCTAACCGCCAGGGCTTGTTGAAATGGCAGGGACTCGGTCGAGGCTAAAAATAGACGCGCAGCCCCAACAGTAGCGCCAATTAGTCGGTGTGATCACTAGCGAGTCACTTCCCCTCTCCGGGCCTCAATGTCCTCCTCTGTTCAACAGAGTCAAGGGACGTACAAAGGACACAGGGGTGAAGGCCTGCAGGGGGACAGCTGTGGAAAGGGGGACCCCATGCCCGGGCTCCCCTACTTTCCCACTCACTCCATCATGGGCACAGGGGGCATCCCACAGCAGCAGGGGGCGGGGACGAGGTGCCTAAAATCCTCTTTCTCCAGCCCCTGCTTTTCTCTTTGTATTTGGATTGATAGAGAAGAAAGAATGACCAGAATGAGTGGAAGGAAACAAAATACCACCATGAGAGAGAGAGAGAGCGAGACACCACCACCAGGAAAACGCAAAAGGGTGACTGGAGACAACGGCAGGAGTTCAAACATCTCTTGATGTCAGAAACCAAGGTGAGATGCGGGCGATGGAGTGTGGGGGGAGGCGGGGGAGGGGAGAGCACAGACACGGACAAACCCCCGCCCCCACCCAGCACCCCGAAAAAAATAAATAAAGACATGGCAGAGGAAGGGGATGGGAAGGCAAGGAAGGGGGGCAGATGGAGGAGGGGAAGGAGCAGCAGATCCAGGCGCAGGTGGGGGCAATCCAGTCCAATCCAAAGCAAACCAGAACTTCAAACCATACCTTCGCTGTTTAACGTCAGGTGAGCCGGACCTTGGAGAGAGGAAGGAGAGAAAGAAAGAAAGGAAAAACAAAACAAAAAGAAGAAGAAGAAAAGAAAGAAAAGGGGAAAGAAACAAAGAAAACACGAGTCATCAAAATCAGCCAGAGGGGAGAAAAAGCTTTTGCTGCCACAATTTAAAAACCCTTTTTAACTTGTGACAGACATCGGGGGAGAGCCCCCAGCCCAGGAGCTGAGGAAAGGGGCCCGATGCCGGAACAGAGGGTGGAGGGCATGAGAGGGGCAGAGAGAGGGGGTGAGGGTGCAGGCGGAACCGGAGGGAGATGGGGCAGGGAGTCGCTGCAGCGGGAGAGGAGATTTTGGTTTCTTTTTTTCATTCTTGCCGGAAAAAAAAAAGGAAAAGGAGGAGAAGCAAGAGGCTGGGAGGGCTGCTTTTTCCTTTTTCTTTTTTTCTTTTTTTTTTTCTTCCGGGAGACGGAGAGAAAAAAAAACGGTCAACGAGAAAAACGATTCGGATGGAGGAGAAAATAAAACACGACACAAAAATCAAAGCCACCTGGAGAGAGAGAGAGTGTCCTGTTAGCGTGGGATTGAGTGGGCAAGGGGGACCTCCACCCGCCCCACCCCCATCCCTGTCACCCCTGTGATCCTGGCAGAGGAGGGGAAGAGGGAGCCCCACAAAAGTGAGCTTTGGGAAGGCATCTGTCCAGGTCCAGTTCCAGTCCCCCCGCCCCCCTGCCACCGCCCAGCTGCTCCTCCCACACCCTCTATGGACAGCGGGCACCCACACACCTGGCTTCTATAAGGAACTGGGGTTTGGGGGACAGAGTGAGTAGAAGCAGGTGGGAAGAAGCAGGATCTAGAGCAGTGGTTCTCAACCTTCTGGCCCTTTAAATACAGTTCCTCATGTTGTGACCCAACCATAAAATTATTTTCGTTGCTACTTCATAACTGTCATGTTGCTACTGTTATGGATCGTAATGTAAATATCTGATATGCAGGATGGTCTTAGGCGACCCCTGTGAAAGGGTCGTTCGACCGCCAAAGGGGTCTCGACCCACAGGTTGAGAACCGCTGATCTAGAGAGACCCTGGAGCAAGGCCGGGGGCTGGGGATTCTTCCACAGGGAGGACTAAGGGCTGGGGCCAGCGCTCTCGGACAGCCAAGACCTTGGGCAGAAGGCCGGGTCTGAGAGGTCAAACCCGCTCCTAAGTTGTTCTGTGGCCCCCTTTCCCCGCCAGGCCCTCTCTGAGATGACCCAAAGCTGAGCTTTGAACATGGAAAACAGAAACGGAAGCCCTATTTCCAACATTGTGAGCAAGAGCAGTGGGCGGAGGGGCGGGGGGGGGCAGTCCAGGGTTACCTCGGCCCGTGAGAGAGCCTGGTCAGCCCCGACCCAGGGCACCTCGGCCTTCGGGGAAGACTCTGGCCCACGGGACCAGGACCCCAGTCCCCAGAAGCCGCACCAGCCCCACAGCTGGGCTGAGGCCCCAGAACCTCAGCCCTCCCACTCCCCTCACCCTCCCACCCTGCAGCCGTGGTGTCTGGCCAAGAGGGTGGGGAAGGAGCGGCAGCGCCCTTGAAACCATCGCAGCTGCTGCGCAATGGGATGCGGGCCCTGGGCAGAGAGACCGGGGCCGCGGCAGGAGCAGCAAGGGTCCAGGGCTCGGGTGGCTCTGAGACGAAGCTGAGGGCTGGGGAGCCTGGGTGCAGGAGGAAGGCACGAGGGAGCAGGAAGGCGTGGCCAGGGGCCAAGGCCTGGCTCCCGGGGGAGATGTGGTTCGTGGTGCCCGCTTCTCTCAACAGCGCTGGTCTCTCCCCACCTCTGGGTCTGAGGCCGGTTGGGGGGCCAAGGGGGACCACAGCTACTAAGGGCTGCCTCAGGACAGAACAGCTCTTGGAAAGACACAGGTTTTATTCCCAAAACACGGGGGGGGGGGGGGGGGCCACCTTGCTTGAATGCCCCACCCACTCCTTCCCCCAAGAACTACTGGCATCTTCTTCCGAACCCCTAAATCCAGGACCCAGACCCAGAGTGCTAACCCCTCATCTCACTCTCCCTGGCAAAAACAGACTTGCTCGCAGGCTATTGGAGACCCAGGCCTGGAAGCCCATGGCTGTGCGCCTGCCCTCTGTCCCCCACAGGCCTGTCCTACTGCGGGGGGGGGGGGGGGTCTCCCCTTGCAGACCCTTCCACTGCCCAGCTCCAGCAGCCTCATTAGCATGCCGCACTCTCCACTGTCACCACGGCAACCAGCTGCTCGGCTCCCTCAGGCGTGACAGCACCAGCCATCTTGGTGAGGGGAGGCCAGTCCCCTGCCCCGTCTCCCACGGCTCAGCCCAGCCGGACCTAAGGGTGCTTTCTAGAACCTGCCTCCCACCCGCCCTGAAATCTCTGCTCCCTCCTCATGCCCAGCTCTCCCCGCTTTACACCCTCGTCCCCCCCAGGTCCACCTGTGGCATCACCCTCCCACCATGGGAGGAGGCTGGCTGTGACTGATGCATTAGCAAGGGTCCTTCCTAGGGTACTTTATCTGGCTGCTTCTGTGTCTTCTCTCTGCTACAAGAGGCTGGGGGCAGGGGTGCAGG